TGTCCTTCCCCTTTACAATTGGAACATTTCATAACCCTTCCCTTTCTTGTAAGCTGTGAACCAGATGAGGGTGCTTCAGATGCTTCCCGGATTCTCTTCTTCTTTGGGCGTCCACTCATCTTCTTTGGCACAGGAGGCAGAATATCTTCATGCTGAGTTCGTGGCCATAACAACTCTCCATTAATTGGTGGAAGAGTGTATGAATAAGTTCTCTGGTAGAATTCCTTAGAGTAGCAGTTGTCCACATATTGTTCCGGATTTTGGCCATTATAAAAAATGGCACATATGGCATGCGCACAAGGTATTCCAGACAAATTCCACCTCCTACAGGAACATGTTTTACCATTCAGACTGACCTTGAATTGTTGTTTTCCCTTTTTAATTTCATAGCCATCGTCCCCGTTGAAATCCACATTCCATCCTTGGCTAGCTAAAATGTTTTTGTTCAATTTATTCATAATCACAGGTCCAAATTATCCTGCCAATGTTAATTATTGGACTGAAATTATGCCAACCAGATTATAAAGGGAATTAATTATCCATTACCAATTGAAGTAAATATTATACCTGACCACTTTTTGACATATTTCCTTTTTTGGCAATCCTTTTCATCATTGCAACTCTAATGTCCTCTAGCGTTGGAATAATAGGTTTTCCTCTGCATTTGAGAAGGGTGCTATTGAAGGCCTCTGATAAGTTGTTCTCAACAGTATCACATTTCACATCCGTTCTAAAATATGCCTTGCACCATAATTTGAAATCAATTTTGCGCAAGTCTTTACCAGCATCACTATCTGCCTTATCCAACTCCGCTAATGCAGCCTGCAATTGTTCCTCGCAAGTGGACTTTGCACACATCCAGAACAGGTTCTTAAGAAGCAAACCTCTGTGGGTTTTGCTCCAATTCGCATGAATGTGTCTAGCACAATTTCGGTGCTCAGCCTCTGAGAAAACCCTTGCAATCACATTACAAAGACCCTGCAGTGCCAAGATATATGTAATTAACAGTCATAACAGCTGATATTGTAAGCTTAAATCATTACATGTATATATAATGTTACTTACCTTTTGTTGGTCACTTATGATAGTCCACAAATCTGACCTAGTGATTTGCAGATCAATTTTCAGAAGCTCTAGAAACCAGGCCCATGACGAGTTGTTTTCAATCTCAACTACCGCCCATGCAATGGGGTACATTTGGTTATTGGCATCTCTACCTACTGCTGATAATATCTCCCCTTTCAGTTGACCTTTAAGAAAGCACCCATCTAGTCCAACAACCTTCCTACAACCTTCAAGAAACCCTTTTTTAACCGGTCCGAAGCACACATATATGCGTTGAAATATAGAGGGAGAATCAGGAACTACTCTTGTAGTATGAATGACCATTGTACTGTCAGGAATAGACTGTAGGCATTCCTCTGCGTAGTTTCTGATTTTTTTGAATTGCTCTTTCCAATCTGTTTGGGTTTTCTTTTGAATAATCCTCAGAGCCCTGGTAGCCATACTGGTAGAAACGTGTATTTTGAGCTCAGCTTTGATCAGTTTCTTCAGCTCCAATGCAGTCATAGTAGGATCATCAACAACCTTATCCTCAAACTTTTCTGCAATCCATTTCTGACTAACTATCCCCAACTTATACTTCAAATTGCATTGATGTTCTTGGTTGAAAACCGACACTTGAAAGCACTTCAATCTCTCAACCCATGTACCAGTACAAGAAAAAGAACATGTACCACCACATTTCACCCGAACTCTGTGTGGATCATTTTTGGCAAATTTTATCTCTTTTCTCATGCACAGCATATCTAACAAGAGCACTCTTGAATTGTGTACCATCTTCAAAATACATTCCCACCTGTATGTTAGGAGGCTCACAATCAGGATTATAAGTACAAAAGTGTTCTCTAGGTTGGTCATGTATTTCTGGTTCACCATTGTAGCTTCTTGGATTCGATGAGTCATACTCAACACTGTCTTCCCCTTCTGAGGTGTCACTTTTAGTTTTGTATTCCTCCTCTGCATCATGTGATGTTAACCCTTCACTCGTTTGGTCAACATCTGCATGATCACCTATAACAGGTTCTTCATCATGCTGGGGTACATGTTTACCATTGGCATCCGTAGTTGGCACAGGTAATAGAGGAATTTCAACTAATTCAGCCTCATCAAGACTGTGATGTACATAAATCTCACACTTCCCACACCTTGTACCCATATATATCAGATCTAGGGTTGATGCATCATTGAACAATTCATGTAACATCTCCATTGGTTATTCTGGTGTTTTGTAATACAACCCACAAATGTTCCCATATGATCCTGATTTTAGAGACTTCATCAGATGAGTATAGCTTATGAAATCAGGATCTACTTTAATGATGTCCACTTCACCACCTACGTACATCGTAGAAGGAGTACTAACAAAGTTCCCTCCATGGTGAATAATGAGCTCGACCCTGTCAAACATGCTGCACAAAACAACCAATGAATCACTTCAAGGAAAAAATCACTACTCAAATTACGGGGAAAATGTTTAAACACACACACTACCAATCAATTCCACTTAATCGTGTATACAAACAGAGTTGGACAAACATCGAATCCGACCAAGCAAATACATGTAAAAATGTGTGGGGTTGTATAAAAGTAGAGTTCGAATATTACCTGTGAGGTTGTACTAAATCCGACCACTCAAACAAATGTTGGTTGCGCTTCACTTCTGGTAAGGACCATTTCAATGGCGTCGTTCTTCTTCACTGAGAGCTGAATGGCGTCGCTGGCAACATTGAAACATTAGGGCTTAATTTGAAATGTTTAGGGTTTAGTTTTTTATTTTTTAATATACTCCCATTGCATCTTTAAAAATATTTGACATGTCAACTTACTCAACCAACTTAAAAACTGCCACTTAGGCTGCCACATAAGCAGTGAACGGGGTTACCGGTTGGTAACCTTCCAAACGGCCTAATTGGTTGTTTTTTAGACTTCGTGGACTGAAATGAATGAATTTAGAGTAGGGGGGCTTAATTGACTTTCCGTACAAAGTAGAAGAGCTTATTTGACAGTTTTCCCTTTATAATTCTATGTAATACGAAGTACTTGCGCGTCCAAGGTCTTTGAGGACAACGAGTGTTTTTGATCGAGTGGATGTAGTCCATTTTCGAGGACGTTACGCGTGCCACGACCACTGTGGGATTATTCTTTCACCTTGGCCGAAGGTGAAGCATGTGATCCAAAACCGTTGAGGCTCCACATGTCGAGAGACGACACATTTTATGTTCTGGGTGGTGTGTTTGAGCTTTGCTTCCTTGTTTGCTTATTTTGCTGCGGTCGAGGGTGTACAACAAGGTCCTGGACGTTGTGGTGCATAGATGATACGATGTCGTTGTAGTTGTACACTTGTGCGTTCTTGGATTTTACATTTCATCCTTGCGTTTGGAGGCCGATGTAGTCCCCTAGTCCCCCACTGCCTGAGGCGAGAGTATTCAAGCGAAAGGGAGTAGAGCTATGTACTGACCTGTCGTCGTCGGGTTGAGTAAACTTCTGGCGTCGACGAGGCGCCTCACTCGGATTCACCAAGCCGATAATCCGATCTCATTGGCGAGCTCTGACCGAGGCAACCCCGTGGGAGAATCCTCAGCCAAAGGTCGTAGGCAAGAGACCATCACTACCAGACTTGGGGCCGAGGGGCTACGCGTATGATGTGAGGTTGTCGCCGGTGCGTGTGGCAACTTTTGTGAAGAATTTGAATTTCGTGCTTCTGTGGTGACGGAGGCGCTAACCCCCCCACACCTCAGATATACTCGTACTTCCTTATGCCTGTCTAGACCCGAACCCGGTTGTTTTTAATGGGTATGAGTCTATTTTTTATTCCGTTTACCCGGATCTGGATCCGGACCCGTTAGTATTTTAAATAAACAGGTCGGGTATGGTACATATGATTGCGCCCCGTTAAAGACCCGAACCCGTTTACAATTTCTTATTTGTACACACATACACTCAAACATAAAGTGATTAGTTATAACACTTTAAATAAAATAGAAACTAATATACATATATAAATAATAATACATAAAGTTATTAGTTGTGAATTTGTGATTATTCAATAAAAATATACACATTAATACATAAATACTACGGAGTATATAAGTTATACTGATCAAGATAGTAAGATATCCTAAAACTAATATTTATTACTATTATTATTAATATTATTATATCATTATCATATATAATTCTACATATGATTTTATACTCTTAGTAGTCCAAGAGATTTTTTTATGATTTAATTTCTAGTTTATTCTACGAGTTTTTTGTGTAAGAGAAAGCCACGCAAAGTGTGGAGCTATATGCCTGTACAAGAACCGATACTTTATTAGATAAAAATACTAATTAGACCTTGATTTTTTTGAAAAGTGAAGATATATTTTGCTTTTAAATTTGTACACTTTGCTGTATATTTCACATACATGTCTTGCTATTTTCACAAAGTTTATAATGGTGTGCGTATCATACTTGGCGGGCGGGTCTACCTGACCCGATTCCGAGACCCATTAGGTCTGGGTCCGGGTCCAAATATTCAGACCCGCCGGGTAAACGGATCCGGTCTGGGTCCATTATTAACTTAGCGGGTCCGGGTCTGGAACACTATGTTCCGACCCGGACCCGACCCATTGACAGAGGCCTACACTTCCTCAGTTCAGCGCGCTGGAAAGGACAGGTAGCTTTGGGTTCCTAATTTGGTTATGTTTATATATGGGCTTGTTTTGAAAACAATATATTACTATAAATTAAGCTATGGCTTAATTTTGAAATATGAATTTAAGATTGTAAAAAGTGATATCATTTCCCTTATTATACTTGGTTGCGAAAATTTTCCTTTAAAATATCCCAAATGAAATGATTTAAAGTGATTGGCCCAAAGTTCTTGATCCGGTCCATTTAGAAAATCACATGCCCAAATCTCGAATAACCTAACCCTACTCTCGCTTGTCTTTATACCGTTTGCCTACCAATTCATTCGAGCTCTCATCTCTCTACGCTCATATCTCAGTCGGCCGTACGCTCTCTCCGTTTGCATATCCTCTTCCCTCCAGGTTAGTCGATTATTACTAACTGTCTGCTTATTTTATCTGTTGTTGAGGTTCGTTCTTTATCTGTTCTTTCATTCAAACGATGAATAATTTTCTAAAATAAGGAGTTGTATTATTATAAGCTGTAATTTGATGACCAACCAATACGCTGGCAGTGTTGCCTTCGTACGGAGGAGAGCCCAAATTCTGCAGATTAACTGTGAGTACGGTTAGTCTAGAAAGTCTCGTTTTCTGAGGTCTTTTTTATTGTCGAGTAGGCAAATAAGAAAATCATGGAAGCATACTGTTTCTGTGTGAAAAAGTTAACTATTTTCGCTCAATTTGTAAAAGTTAAATGGCGGGCTGACTGTAGCTGTTTCATAATGTATATATAAATGACTCTTCATATATGTTTAGACAACAGCTAATTGAGATTTTGCCCTACCTATTAATTTTCTGATGTTTACTTGATGGGGTTTAGAACGCTGCACTGCGTTCTGCTAAATTTAGGAATTTTGACCTGGTATACCTGACAGATTTGCCAAGATGATGAACGATGAGGGACAATTTATGGATCTTTACATCCCAAGGAAGTGGTATGATCTTAAGATATTTTATCATTTTTATTTACAAAATAGTGCCTGCCGCATGTATGTTACGGAGTATAAAAAAGATTTTGAGTTTAGGAATACTGAGAGCCTTGAAATAAACTAACGACGCTAGAATAATGATCTTGATGCAGCTCTGCCACAAACAGGCTGATCACTTCAAAGGACCATGCTTCTGTCCAAATCAATGTTGGCCATTTGAATGATGATGGTGTATTTAATGGAAAGTCCACCACTTTTGCCTTATGTGGATTTGTTCGTGCTCAGGTAAGCTGTTCTTTGGAGTGTGAAATTCTTTTTTTCTGCTGCGTCATCCTTTTATAATGTTGTTTGCTTCTTGTTTGTTTTATTGCTTGACATTTTAAAAACAAGTATGATCACTGGGAATGTGTGCAGTTTTTAGAGTTCATCATGCCAAAAAATTGGTGGGCTTTTGTCCCGTTGCATATTCTCATATTCAGTGTACTGTGGTAGGCCTACAACTGGTTGTTGTGATTTAGTTTCAAGCTCACACATTATTAGATTTTAAGTACAGTTAATTAAAGCTTAATGTATTGTCATCACTAAAAATAAATAAAATGTTTCCAAATTAATTCAATATCTATTGACATTTTCTATTTCTGGAATTTAATGCAAGAATGTATGCATGCTTACTATATCTTAAAGTAATTGATATGCTTCCCTCTTTATAAAAGTGAGCTTGTTTTTTATAATTGTAATAGTTTTATCATATGCTTGGCATTTCACTCTATGCCCCCTTTTTTATATTTAGAACTTATTAAAACTAATTAAAAAAGTAAAGATTGAGTGATCCAGTGCATCTCGTCCGGAATGCTTTTATGCGCAATCACTAATCAATCATAGATGATAGATCATTCCTAATATTTAGAAGTTTCTGAGCTCTAAGGTTATTTGTTAACAACTTTCATATTTATATTGTCAATATCAATCAGGTATTAAGTTATGAGAGTTTATATAGTTGCCTCATTCAAATTCTTTAAAGCTTTGGTAAATTATACTCCATATAAAAATCTTCTAAGAACAGTGGCTTATGTATTATTCTGCTTCGTTTATGCTTTTCAGGGAGATGCTGACAGTGCTGTGGACAGGCTCTGGCAGAAGAAGAGACATGAACTCAAACAGTGATCACTCCTGCTCTTAGTTTGATTTGAGTTTCTTTGTCAGTGCTATTTGAGATTCACTTTATTTCACTCTTTAGTAGCTACAATGAGCATTGTTTGTAACTTTTCTGTGTACTATTTGCCTTGATCTCGGTTTTATGTTTCCAAAGACTTTAAAGGTTGAGACAATGGAGCACTTATTTGTGTACTAACTTTGATTTGAGATTTTTTTTGCGAGTGATGTCATTCTGTGTTTCTATTTGGTTTTTCTCATTGGCTTATAGTGTAGTCCAAACTGTATGCGATATGCTTGGAAAAACCTAAAATTCTGCTAATGTTTTAGGGGTTTTCCTTGTCTCACTCTGTCCTCTTTTGGTCCTATTTAATGTCCATAGTACCATTCAACAAGTTTGTTAATATTTGGTTAGGCACACATTTTTTATAAGAACTGCACCAGCCCCACATTTCTCACATGTTTGATGTCCTCACGTGTTCAATCTTAGGGGAATGCCTGATTTAAAACTAGGGATGGACTCGGGCCGGGTGGCCCGACCTGGAACCGGCCTGGGACCGGCACTGTTCCGGCCCGACCTGGCCCGACCCGGTGGCCCGATCAGTGACCGGTCCGGGTAGGCCTGGCCCGTGGGTTTTCCGGTCTGGGCTCGGGTCACCCAAAACAAGGCCTGACCCGGCCGCACCCGGGCCCTTTTTGGGCCAAAAACTATTTTTTCTTTCAATTTTTTTTTAAATTTTCGGGTTGGGCTGGGTATTTTGGGCCATTTAGGGTGGTTTGGGGGGTTGGAGGTGGGAGACTGGGAGGGGGGTTAATTAGGAAGAAGTAAAAAAAAAATATAATGGGCCCTGCCCGGCCCCGACCCGGTGGTTACCCGGGCCGGTCCCGGGTCCACCATTTCTGACCCGCCGGCCCGCCCGGGCCTAGGCCCGACCCGGACCCAGCCCGGACCCGAGTCCATCCATATTTAAAACACTATTGGGATGCCTGATTTAAAAAAAGTGATTACTTTATGTGTGGATAAGCTGATAAAGATATAACTGACAAGGTAATTGCCAACGAAATTTTGAATGCCACAACCAATTTATTTTCTGATTTTGTCACTATCACTTTGTGATGGATATGGGTCGGTTTGGTTCCGGTTCTGGTTGAGACCACCTGGTCCAAAAAATTGATTGACATGGTAATTGCAAACAAAATTTTGAATGCCACAATCAATTTATTATGTCACTATCACTTTGTGATGGATATGGGTCGGTCTGGTTCCGGTTCTGGTTGAGATCACCTGGTACAAAAAATTGATTTGGCCCCGTATTGTCCTGTTAATTTGTAAATTTCTTATATCTGACATGGTAATTGCAAACAAAATTTTGAATGACGCAATCAATTTATTTTGTCACTATCACTTTGTGATGGATATGGGTCGGTCTGGTTCCGGTTCTGGTTGAGATCACCTGGTACAAAAAATTGATTTGGCCCCGTATTGTCTGTTAATTTCTGGGTCAGGGTCAGGGTCGGTTCCTGATTTCAACTTGAAAAAGAAGCATCGGTCCAGGGCTGTAACTCGATATCAAATGGGGTGAACAGGGATGGACCGGTTCCGGTTCGGGCACGGTTCAGGTCTAGGCCCGGCCGGGCTGCGGTTCATGAAGGGGAGGCCCGAAACCAGCCTGGGTAACCCCGATCCCGGCCGGGCCTCGGTTCTATTTTTTTTGGCTTTTCCTAGTTAACCCCCAACCCTCCCCCTCACCCCCAAACCAACCCTAACTACCTCAAATGGCCCGGGCCTGAACATCTTGCGGTCTCTGGCTGAAAGGCTAAAGGAGCCCAGAGTTCAGCCATATATCGCTCCGTCATCTTTATTTGATGACGCGAAGCTCATTTGCAGGCCCATCAGCCATACATCGCTCTGTCATCTTTATTTGATGATGAAGAGCTCATTTGTAGGCTCATCGGCCATATATCGCTCTGTCATCTTTATTTGATGATGAAGAGCTCATTTGTAGGCCCATCGGCCATATATCGCTCTCTCATCTTTATTTGATGACGTCGAGCTCATCTACAGGCCCCTCGGCCATATCTCGCTCTGTCATCTTTATTTGATGACGAAAAGCTCATCTAGAGGCCCATCAGCCATATCTCGCTCTGTCATCTTTATTTGATGACGTCGAGCTCATCTACAGGCCTATCGGTCATATGTCGTTCTGTCATCTTCATTTGATGACGTAGAACTCATTTGTAGGCCCCTCGGCCGCACCATCGCCCCGTCGTATTTATTTGACGACGTGGAGCTCTTATGCAGGCCCCTCGGCCGCACCATCGCCCCGTCATCTTTATTTGACGACGTGGAGCTCTTATGCAGGCCCCTCGGCCGCACCATCGCCTCGTCGTCTTTATCTGACGACATGGAGCTCTTATGTAGGCCCCTCGGCCGCACCATCGCCATGTCGTCTTTATTTGACGACGTGGAGCTCTTATGCAGGCCCCTCGGCCACACCATCGCCCCGTCGTCTTTATTTGACGACGTGGAGCTCTTATGCAGGCCCCTCGGCCGCACCATCACCCCATTGTCTTTATTTGACGACGTGGAACTCTTATGCAGGCCCCTCGGCCGCACCATCGCCCCGTCATCTTTATTTGACGACGTGGAGCTCTTATGCAGGCCCCTCGGCCGCACCATCACCCCGTCGTCTTTATTTGACGACGTGGAGCTCTTATGCAGGCCCCTCGGCCGCACCATCGCCCCGTCGTCTTTATTTGACGACGTGGAGCTCTTATGCAGGCCCCTCGGCCGCACACATCGCCCAATCGTCTTTATTTGACGACGTGGAGCTCTATGCAGGTCCCTCGGCCATACATCGCCTCGTCGTCCTTATTCGACAACGTGGAGCTCTCGTACAGGCCTCTCGGCCCATCGGCCTTACGTTCTGGTCATCTTTATTTGATGAACCAGACATCATATTGTGGACGGTCGCTCGACCCATCCCTTAGTCATCTTTATTTGATGACTAGGACTACTAATCATGATGAGCTACCCACATATAGAGATCGGCCTCGACCATCCCCCCAGCAGACGGGCACCGTTGCAGCTCCATCTCCAGGCCGAAGGGTCCGCACCTTTTGTTTCATTTTGGGGGCATCCGGTGTACTCTTTTTCCCTTATTAGGATTTTTTCCCACAGGGTTTTTCCTAATGAGGTTTTTAACGAGGCATCTCCCCATCGTGGATCAAAAGGTGTCAACCCTCGGCCCCCTGTTGAAGACATCATCCGACACGCATTACTCTACTCCTCTTCACCTCATTACACTCGCCTCAAGGAGTGGGGGACTCGAAGAGCGGGGGACTTAGCGCCCCCGTTAACCAAAGAAGCAGAAATTCAAATTTTTGATTACGAAGTTTACTCACCAGACGACGACAGATCAGCACACAGTTCTACTCTCTTTCGCCTCGAATACTCTCGACTCAGAGAGTGGGGGACTCCTGATAGAGTATATAGACTCGGACCCCCGGGTCTCACGACTATTGGACCCGGACAGTGGCCCACATACGCTCAGTAGATAGCATTTATTTCGTTGTACATTCCATTTTATTCATGTATACCCGTTAGAATAGATTAAATACCATTTGTTAGCCATTTATTGGCCTTTTATTGTAAATGGGCCTTCCAGCCCAAGCCTGGAAGCCCAGCCCGCTTTTCTCCTATAAATACTCCCTAAGGGAGTCATGTAAAGAGTTGGAAATTCATTATACATATCACTTTATCTCTCTAGCTCTTCCTTCTCTCTAGGAGTTAATACTCCATCAATAACTAACTGTTGTTGGCACTTGGCACTAGGGGTGGGGTGGGTCCGGTCCGCTTCGGCTTTTTGCTAAACCCCGAAATTATCCGTAAGGTATCGGGTTATGAAAATTAGGGACTGAAACAAAGCCCACTATTTTCGGTCCGAGTCGGATTTTTTGTAGCCCGGGTTCGGTCCGGGTTGGGGTTCGGGTTCGGCCGGTTGAAGCCCGAATGTGAAATCACTCATATTTCTTTTATATTTTAAAATCTATTTTCAAATAAAATTAATAAAAAGTACAAACCGCAAATAAAATTAATAAAAAGCACAAATATTAATCTTCAAAATCACCAAGAATTCAAATCCAAAGAATACAATTATCATAATATTTTGTTTAAGATGCATAAAAATAAATAATATAAGTGTTCTAAAAATGTTATGAAATAAAATTTATGGATAAAAATGTGACAATGTTACTCTAAATATGTTTTCATGGTCATTACGATAAATAAATCGAACATATTTGTAGTCTCTAATAGTTATTAAGTCATTTTACGTCCATTATGATTATAATCATATATTAGGATTTAATTTATAAATTATATTGGTATATTTTATTGATTTTATATTAAAGCTAATTGTTTCGGGTTTTTATCGGTCCGGGCCGGGTTATAGATTTTAGAGCCCGTTAATGAGCTTGAAATTTCGGGTTCGGTGCGGTTTTTTATTCGGACCCGTCAAAAAAAAAAACCCGGACCGATATCATAATTCGGGTTGGGCCAGGGCCTGTTTCCCACCCCTACTTGGCACTGTTTTCGTGTGGAATGTGTTATTGCGAGTCTGACTTTCTGACCATCCACAACTTTTTATCTTTGAAATAGCATTCGTCTGAAACAGGGATGGACTTAGATGGGTCAGCTCGAGACCCGGCCCAACCTGATATTGTGCAGGCCCGATCCGGCTCGGGACTGGGGGCCCGAACCGGCTGTTTATGGGGCATGCTACGGGCCTTGATTTTAGTGGACCTGCCCGCCCAGTCTGGGCATGGTCCGGGCCATTTTTTTTTGCATTGTGCTACTGCTAGGTGGGTTGGGCTAGGTGTTTTGGCGGCATTTGGGCATGGGGGGTCGGGGTTGGAATAAATTCGAAAAGACTAATTTTTAAAAACAAAAAATTGACCTTACCTGGGCGCGGGCCCGATTCAAACTCGGGCCAGTACCAGACCTTCATACGAAAACCCCAGTCCCGCCCAATCTCAGCCCGGGGGTCAGGCCCGACCCGGCTCCGGTCCATGCCTAGTCTGGAATAGGTTACTGTGAGTGTGGCCATCCACAACTTTTAATCTTTGAAAAAAATCTTGGCAGCTGCCAACGGTATAGGGCAAAGTACGCCATGGACAGAAAGGGTGGTGCGGGCAGTTGGGATGCATTAGAGAGAAGAAATTTAAATTAAAT